AGGAGAGACTGCCAGTCATTACACTTTGTATATCTCAACACAGGTATTTTCAATCTTATGTTAGCTTACATGTCAGGGGATTTTCTTCTTCCTTTCTTCTCTCTCCATCCAAAACATTTATCATTCATAACCAATTATATTACTGAAAGAATGGGAGCTAATGATTCCACTACTGTACTAATATCACTGCCTTGCAACAAACTCCGATTACCTCTGGGAGTAGCGACCCTGCCTTGCCTTGCCAGCTATGAGCGCAGTGGTTGATGATTGGCATCCAGCCATAAAACTTGCTTCATGCTAACTGAGACACCAAGCCATCAGATAATTATGGCTAACACATGCATTCATTTTATCATTACAAATAACTTCCTAAGAGCAGGATGGCTTACAAAAAATATCTTTAACATTCCAATCAATACTAGATTGATTGATTTATAGAATTTAGGCTCAAAGCCAGGCACTGGAGCCAATAGATCAATACTAGAACTTAACTATATCATTGTAAAAGGCCTAATAACCATAGAAAATCCACCACGAAATTAAGATTTTCACACTAAACTGCTACTCTGCTGACTGCTTTACCCAAGCTTTTATTAAATTATTAGTAAAACAAGATTCTCACTCAACCACCCGGCTATTGATGTTGGGCACTCAACACACAATACGTTACAGTACATACCTGTACTTTCATATTAACCTCCTACACTGGTTAAAAATAAACTGAGTTGACAAACAATTTCCTGCCTATCATTGAGCTGGGTGGCATCCTTCAGCTAGACACTAACAGCCTGGTCATGGCTCTCAAGACGAAATAAATCGTACATGTGTCTGACCCTTTGCTCAAACACTACCTGTACAGTGGCCTGAATAATAATCATAATAATAAAAAAAAAAGGATTCTCACTTTCTGTCACTCATTCTCTCTAACAGGTAACAGGTGTGTTGTTGTTGTTCTTCCACATTTATAGTACCGGCCAATGATTAAGGTCTTGATCTCACTGGTACTTGCACTGAACTCAAAATCTTAGGCCAGACCTCAACTATAACTCTCACTGTCTCTTCACACTGGTACTTTTCACAGACCTTTCATGACCATCTATTAGAGCTCTCTGTCCTTGTGCATAGTTCTACAGGCATCCACAATCTTAAGAGCAGATTTACACTATCATGACCACCAAAGAAATAGAATTCTTCTTTAATGTACACTACTGTACTATACAGTATCAAGAAATGGTGCAGACTTGTCCAAGCATTCGAGTGTCAATTATTACAATCCCCTTAGTAAATAATCTTTAGTGAACTTTAAGTATTTGATGGAAATGTTGGCATCACTGTTGGTCATAGTGGGGTGTCCAAATATGGAAAATATCTAAATTGTTGAAGGGAAAAGAAAGAGAAAACAAACACAATTAAATGCAAAAATACGAGTAACCTAACCTAACCTATCCCCTACTATGGGATTCTTGAGTGTGTGTGAATTATCAAACATCATTACCACTCCAGGTCAACAAACAGCCACTTCAATCTGCCACAGTGATCATAACTGCACTAAGAACAAGCACCTCTCGACTTGACCCAGACACAACACAAAGATATTGGTTACTTTCCCATATAATATCAAGCTCACCATAACCAGTTTATAAGCAAGAAGTGTTAGTGTTCACCATTACATATTAAGTAATATACTGTACTGCACAACATTATACATTTTAATGGTACAGTGTATAAGTTTTGTATCTTCATCCCAGCAGAAGTCAGTGCTTCATCTTGTGCTACACACCCTACTGATTCTCTGATATTTCTTGAAGTTGGAAATGTTAACTGTCTATAAATGCTTATGCGGCTTATAACCAGTACATAAAGTTGTGATCAAGAAGCATTAATACCTTATAATGGGATTACCAGCCTGGGGTCAATCTTCCCTATGTGGGTTAAAGAACTAAAACATAATGATATGTTTCAACAATTTCAGCAATAAAGTGGCATCTCTAAAGATAACCTTTATCCCTTATTGTTTAGGATGCAAGAAATCTTGGTTCAGTAAGGACTCCAGTCACTTGTGAATAATTTCATTAGGTGTGAAAAAAAAATAAGAATGATTGTGGATCAACCTACCAGTAATAGGGTCAGCTTACTCAGTGTGTGACACTGTGTACACACAATAAATACTAGTGACTTCATTCCTGCCACTTGTGCCTCAGGAGTTGGCACTATAGTCATGTCATCTTCATTCATTACATAAAGAATCTTTCATCTAAAACTGTACTGTTGACCTTTGAGAAGACTGGAATTTGCTTCAGCACTTCAGCTAGTAAAGATATATACAGTACAGTATCAAGGCAAATCTCATCAAAATATCTAAAAGTATAATAATACAAGAGTCAAGCTTAAGACACAAAACCTTACATACTGACAGACAGACTCATTCATAATAAAACAAATTATTTAAACAAGAAAATAGAAACTCTTCCAATTAATGGGTCCAACTTCTACTAGTAAGTCTCAAACAGAACTTTATATCACCTGTATTGAATTTGAGACCAAGTACTGACTGTAACAAACATATCTCGTATGTATTTACAACTGTTCTCTGTTCTCTTAAAACATGTTCAGTACAGTACAACCCTAACAAAGTGAAGCTAAAAAAACAACTGCTCACAAAACTTGGTCACTCTGATACTGTACACCTACCATGTACACCCACTGTACACATATTGTGTACAGAACCAAATGTTCACAACCATATTATGGCAACATTAGAGCTGCAGCAACATTTGACCTGATTTAATGAACTTCTCAGAATAATAGGCAAATGATGAGAAATACCAAATACTATAAGTGAATAAAGTGTACACACACACACACAAATCAAATGAATGTGATGAAGCGACAAAGGCAAGTAAGAAAGGCAAAATAATAATGTGCATTACAGTCAAATGTGTGATGAGGTTATCAACACTTGTGCTGGGTAAGACTGACTCAAAGTCTTGCCAGGTGAAAAGCTGTGCACAGCTGTGTTACAATATAGGCAACAGTTGTACTGTACTGTACTACAAAACATGGTGCAGGCCATAGTTGTTCTAAAACACACAAGTTCTAGTTTTCTAGCCTTTCACAATATTCTAGCAATATATTGCACATGTTTAAATTGAAATATCCACATTTTCTTTCCATTCAAATAAATGTCACTGCCTGTAAACTTTTTTCAAAAATATTTACATTTGTTTCTTTTTCTCATTTTTAGTTTGTCTTATGATCCCTTTCTCACTAATGTACTGTGCAGGGTTACCAGGATAAAGAGCAACACAGATTCTCTCATTCATTCACTCCAGCTGCTGTTAAAGTTAGGAACTGATGCTCCCTCTCTCTCTCTGCTGCAAAATATGGTTTATCTGTTGCTTCCACAAAGACCAGTACTATACAGTATTATGTATCAGCAACAAAACCTCAACACCACACCATCTTCTCTCCTTATTCATATATACATTGTTCATGTCAGTTAAAATAATTCTTCTACATATTTTGGAAGAGTTAAGTGAACAATATTAGCAACCAGTAATGCAGGATTACTGACAGCAAGTATCTTAACTGAACAGATCTGTCTACCAAATTTGGACCATTTAGGTTAATGGTTGAGAAGACAAAAATGGTAGCAAATCAGATAATGTGACATCATGACTACAATACTAAACCAATTTCTAGAACTGTGATAATTGTGGATCAAAGTGTAGTGATTAGATAGGATATATTTGCTCTATTTTTTCTAGCTAAGTTCTCTCTCTTCCTCTTTCTCATCTTACAGCCAGGTTTTGTTCCCTACTAGTTAGAATCACTAAGACCAAGAATGACTGGGGAGTGTGGGATTCTTTAGAGTGAGGGCACTGAGGACAACTCTATCCTATAATCCAGGATCAGACCAATCTGCAACTGTAAATACTTGTTACTCTCTACCGTAGGCCTTCAATATTCATCATTTCACGAACATTAATGTATATGGAAAGCATATTAAGGGAACCACAAACATTACCATAACTAACTGTTTCTGGTTCCACCCAAAAGCTTACCAAAAAGACCAACAATTTTTTTTTTTTTTGTGTAAGGTCAGTGAGTAAAAGGTGCTTTATTTTTTCTCTTGATTCTGGCCTGCTGCCCACAACAGTGACAAAAAAGGGTTATGAGTGGAAGAAACACAGTAAATTGTGACCAACTGCAATACAGTATATCTTTTATAAGAAAAGGCACCATGTATTCCAATATAACAAGTGTATCAGAGTACAACCAAAGGCCAGTCAATGAGCAGAAACTTCCCAACAAGAAGTCATACTGACAGATATTCAACTGATGATTAAAACGACCAAGTAGATTCCTTTGTAGATGATAGTACTGAACTCACTGACACCAAGACACAGTTCATGCCCAAAATAAATGCAAAGGACATATATCACATTACACATTCATGATACAGTACAGCACAGTATGTGTTCTGTGGCAGGAAACACGGGCCCTCTGGGTATCATGACTCAAATTGTTCTACTGAACTGGGAACTCATAAAAACTATCCTTTACTATGAAATATAATAATACTGTATCAACATGTGGGCTGTGAGGGGAGAAACAGCGTCAAGCGTCCTACTGTCGTGACAACAGCGATGCATGAGAAGGGGGAGGGGATATGTGATGCATCATCATAATAATTACTGCAGAAAATAAAGCAAGACAATACAAACATTAACACATGAGATAATCAAATGTGTGTGCGGAACTACACAACTTAAGGGCCATAGGAAGAATAAGAGAAAACTAAATAATTAGATGTAAATTTTAAAGTAGTACATATTTGAAACAAGTAAATATATTAAAAATTTACTCTAAAATATAAGAACTACTTTATAGGAAATGAATGGTGTAAAATATTAACATTAGACAATAGCAATATGAATAAGACTGTCATTACGGAAGAACAAATAAAGAGCGGTCAAAGTTTATGGGCATAACCTTACCATCAGGGTGTTTTTCCAACGGCTCAGTCTTAAGCTGACTGGTGGTGGGCTGACTAACGATGATGGAGGGTTTATTGGATGACGACGACTGCAATGAAGATGGCGGGCTCGGCTCAACACACGCCGCCATGGACGTAGAAATGTTTGACAGAGGCGGAGTCATGACTGAAGGATTGGAAGAGGGCGGAGGTGGCGGAGGAGGACCCTCGGAGTAGTGCTGTTTCTTTGGTGGGATGGCCATGGTTACTGGAGGTGGGGATCGCATCTTTCGCTTCAACCGATCGTCTTCTGTGGGTCGTGTCTCTACTGGCTCCTCTTTCACCTGAAGTCAATGAGTCACAACCGATGAAAATAAAGAAAATTAGGGTCAGTTTTTCAATGCATATAAAATCTTGTGGAGGCAACACCTGCCCTAATTTTTCAGAGGAATCTTGTGACAAATATTAACTCTAACACATCTTCCCTGTTACTTGGTTTGAACACAACAATAACACAAGAGCTCTATTTACAGTTAATGATTGTCTATGTACTCATGGACCAAATTAACAATGTCATCCAATTATCAGTTTCATCCCCCCCCCCCAACAGCTGAAACGAGGATATATCTTGTTCAAGTGAGATTAGGTTGAACCAGGGGGAGCAGGAAGGTTGGATCATGAGCTACACAAATATTTAGGAAGTGGTAATGGTTTCAGAGAGTTTTACACCAGTCCAGAAATACAAGAAGGGGTTGAAATATGGTGTAAACAAATACATGTCTCCCTTTCATATATTTTTTTTATAACACTGTTGCTGCTTCACAAGATTAACTAAAAAAACAATAACATACTTCTTGAAAGTTTTGGTTTTGACAGATGAATCCCTCACAATAAGAATAGAATAACAGCCAACACAAATTAGTGTAACTTCAACAACTTTCTACAACAAATCAAACAGTCCCGACATACTCACCTTTGTCTGAAGATGAGGTCTATTGATGAAACGAGCGTGTAGTGTTGCTGCAAGACCCTCAACAGGACCATCAACTGGTAACCCTCGGGCTTCAGTAAAAGGATGGGGAACAGGTGATATCTCAGTCCTTGGCAGTGGCACAGTACGATTTTTATTAGCATCTCCTACAGGAGCTAGAGGTGGGGTGGCCTGGGAGATGGGTGGGGTGGATGGGGGACACTTGTTGGCATACATGGAAGCAAGTCGTGCCTCAAGACCGTCTCTCCCAGGTGACGGCACCGGTGGAGGCATGTGTGGCTTCTCCTCGTATTGAGGACCTCTTGGTGACTTAACCCTGGGGTACATTAGCCCTTCCATTGCCTGTGATGTATGTGGTGTGGGAGGGAGACTCTCTGTACTATTAGGGCGAGATATTGGGGAGTAAACCATCCTGAGAGCCGGTGACTGCTGTCTCCCGTCACCACTGTCGGGAGTGTGAGGTTTACCGTAACTTTCCTCCACTATTCTTGATATTCGGGAATTAGGGCGTGGAGATATGGACTTTCCTGAGATAGTCATATCAACTGCTGCATTGATAATAGATTGAGAAGAGATCTCTAATGTGCGTTCCACCTCACCACTTATAAGATCCCCAACATTTCTCGTGATGGTCGGAGTTTTGTGGGCACTTGGGAAACATTCCAGCGCTAGTTTTTCCTGAGAGAGGTGACGTCTAAGGGCTAATTTGGCTGGCGACACTTGTGTATAATCTGGCTGGCCAATTTTTGACTCTCTTAAATCCCGTAACTCCCGGATTTCTCCTCTTCTCTCCCTCTTGAAGTCAGAGCGATTGGTTGTCCCAGGCGAAGGATAAGGAGAGTGCGATTGTGATGGAACTGGGGACGGTCTAGGAGGCACTGCTTGTGCTGGAGGTTTGTCCTCATTTAGAACATTAGTAATTATTAACTTGAGACGATCTTCAAAATCTGCCACTCTGGGAGGTTCATGAGCACGGATCATAGAGAACGGTCTTTGGTTCTTCTCGGAAGGTGGTCGGGGCGGCTGATACTTGGTCTCTAATTGTTGAGGTAACTCGACCTTGGTAGGTATTGTATTACCCGACACATATCTCTGGGCTACTACCACCACTCGACCAGGTTCTTGGCTTATTTGCAGAGGCTGGGATCGCACGTCAGACTGTCTGGGTTCTGAAAGGAGAGGCCCACGCAAGCTCTCCACGCTGATGGGCAAACGCCCCTCGTGCACCCTGACTTCCGTCCCGGCAGGTAATGCCGGAATTCGACCAGCTTCTATTTGTCTCCCAGTTTCTAGAATCTTCTGAGCTAAGATCTCTGGATTTTTCTCTTCTATTTTCCCTACATCAGGTATGGTTGGCCACTCCTGATTACGACTTCGGTGTCTGGTTTTGTGTCTACCCGGTGATTTATCTGGTCGTTGAGTGGGAGTGGCAGTGCGGACACTATCTGGGGCCGTGCTCTCCAGGTTGTTGACTTCAGACTCCAGCCTAGACACTTGAGAATGAAGTTTCTTCCGCTGAGACAAGGTTTGAGAGATCTCTCGTAGGATGAACTCTTGACTTAGATGAGACACATCTAGGCTCTGTAAGTAAACATGCAATGAACACTTCTGGTGAAAATAATGACAAATATACAAATATCTAATGAAAGGAACAGATTTCTTCCATTTTTATTTACATAATCATAAAAAAAAGTAAAGGACTAAACAAATACAGTACTGTCTAGTATAGAGAGTAACTGCCTGCACAAAGGTAGCACTTTAACTATAGTATGTTAACAACCACTGCCACCCAGGCCATGTTAGGTTAGGTTAGGTTTGGTGTGTGCACAGTAGTTCAGACAACATAAGCAAATGATCCCTCATCATTCACACTCACTGGTTCCTCTACCTAACCCTTTAGAAATGACCTCAACATACATACAGGTACTTAGGGATTCAGCTCCATTAAAAGGACAGTGGGATTAAGTGCACCATTAGAGAAGGATAATGGGAGTAACTGCTCCAACTCACCCCATTAACGAGTCCATTTCTTCTGTACTTGTTAAGGAGTTCGTGTTGTCTCAGCCGTACCATCTTCTCTTGCTCTTCTTCAGCTGTTGTTACCTGCTGCTGTAGAGAGGACACGGTCGCCTGAAGTTCTTTGTGGCGCCAAACGATCTCCTGATGGGTTGAGACATTTGTGCCTTTAATGACTTATACTAAGAGAGATTGAATGATTGTGGTAATAACATCTCTGGTGATGCAACAGCTTGGGTTGTATGCTGCCGCATTACACTAAAACCTGAGAAGACTAAAAGCAAATAATGAAAGGCAAAAAAACCTAAATATCAAATAGCATAGAACTTTTATTAATTTTTTTTTTAATGTTAATGAATAAGACTCTCAGCTTGTGTAAAAGACTTAGTACGAGAGAGAGCCTGTGACGTAGAGTAAAATAGTGATGCTCAAATTTGTGAAATATTACCACGACAACACAATGCTTCCTTCCTCACAACAGACTAAAACACATTTGAAGGTCTACCATACCTTAGCTCTGTTTAACAGGTCTTCAGGGTTGGCTGCTGTCATGCCCAGTTCTGAGATGCGAGCCCTCAGGAGAGCCACCGAGTCGTCAATAAGAACTTTAATTTGACGCTCAAGCTGGGCTGCCCGAGACTTGAGTGACTTGTTCTTCTCCTGTGTGGGATAATTTGTCTCTACATAAGATAACTTTCTGTTGTACAACAGTAATAGTAATAAAAATAAGAATTTTAATACTAATAATCAATACTAATATATAAACATTTACTGTACTTAAATTTTCTCTTATTCATGTCTCCAGAAAGTTGAATAATATACTGTAATAATTTTCAGTATATCATCAAAATGAAGTTTAATATCTGAAAGGTAATATTCAAATATATTTCATGAAAACAAACTGGGTGTGTTCAACTCCACAGTGAGGGAGGAGGGGTAGCAAGTTATATTACTGTACACCCACTAAAAAATTATTCGGCATCTTTACGGCGTGATACAATATGACATGGGTGCCAAATAATTTTTTAGTGGGTGTACATCACAGTCGGAGACAGAAGACTGCCCATGTATGAAACAGAACTACAAGTACATAATTGTGTTATTAGTCATTACATAGCAGTTACCTCTTACCATATCTACTTGTGTGTTTAAACAGCAGCTTAAGTCTCCCACTGTACAAGAGGCAACAATGCTAGAACTCTGACAAATCAATTGGCTTTAAGAATTAACCAACAGCAAAAGATTCCCCAAGTCTCTGACCACAAACGCATAAAAATGGAACGCAAGCAATACGAAACATCCACTGATGATGGCTGCCATCCCTTCCACTGACAATGGCTGCTATTTAAGGGTTAAAGGTATTACAGTTTATGATTCAGTAAGGTCATAAAGTGTGGTGAGCTTACCTTCTCTGCCTCCATCTGTTTCAACACAAAATCCTTGTAGTCACATTTCTTGATGGTGTCGAGCATGTTGAGAAACTGCTGGCGGAACACATCAAGCAACACTTCCAGGGCATAAGGGGTGTCTGAAGGTGGGATGGGCAATTCTTCGTGGCGTAGAATACCGCTGACAGTGGAGGGCGTGAAGAGAGACAGCTTCTGGTCAACGCAACCAGGTGCTGGATCTTTGAAAGTAGGCGACTTCCCTGCAGTATATGCAACAACAAGAGCAACAACATTATGTGGCCACTTAATAGGACATCAGTAATTAAACCTTTTAAACTATTCCCATCATAAATTAGGTTTATTCTATTATACTCATGTAAGATACAAATATACAGGGATTTACAAATTACTATAAAAATATCGTGCATATCAAATTCTGAAAATAGTTTGTGCCGGAACAGCAAAAATTATATGTACACAAGCATAGATACAATGCACCACACATAAATCTTCCCCAGCCAACAAATTTATCAGAAGTCAAGATTGAAGTGTTTATCTAATAAGGTCTACTTGATCTGACATGACTCAACTAACCATCTGAGGTGGTGCTGAGTAATGTCTGTGTGTGAAGAAGGTCCAGACCATTTATCTTGATAGGCTTTTTACTAGTCCTGTGTGTTCGCTTTCCACCTCGTCTGCTACTGCTGAGGGTAGCCCGTCTGGGGCCACGAGTCTGTTGAAGAATCAAGGAAATCCAGTTGCAACCGTCTCTTCCGTTACTTTTCAAGGGAATACCATAACATGCTGGTCTAGTGGTGGCAACGATCTCAATGCTTGAGCACACTGCACACATTTTAACCTACAAATGCGTTAGATACAGTACCAACTTGCAATGTTATTTTTGCAAATTTTTGGAGATTAATTTCTATGCACGAAAGAATGGAGATGGGAGAAGAGAAATGCAGAAAAGTCCTTCGTAGAATGAAGGCAAGAAGTGAGATAGGAAAATAAAGAATGGGGTGTGAGAGTAGGCACGAGTGAGGAAGGTGAGAGGGAGGACTCACCGCCACAGGAGGGTCAGGATCATCCACAATAGATGGTTTTGAAGCAGCTGCTCTTCTCTGAGTATTTCTCCTCCTCGTTCCAGCGCTTGAATGTCGAGTTGCCCCATTGTTGACATTTTCATCATTCTCATCTGCTGAGCTTCGACAAGACGAGCCTTTTGGTGTTGTCTTAGCAGAGGAGGATGAATTTACAACAGTAGAACTGGAACACCAGTCATTCCAAGCACGTCGAGTAGTTGGACCAATTACTGGGTCATCAAGATCCTTGTTTTGGTCGGAAGAGTTGTTAGAGGAAGTTTCAGAATTGATGGAGGCCTTATTAAGGTCCCTCCGGACTCTGCGCACACCGGGTGTCTCATCCTCCTAAAGCCCAGGAGTAAACTTTTAGAGTTGTGTTAAGTTGACAATCATGAGCAGCACACACTCATGCACACAAAGTAACACAAAGTCTTCCTTTAAAGACTTAAAAGATGAGTGTTTTCATTATGGTGATAAACAAAGTGGTGGCACGGTCACAGTGATGTGCCGGCACGCAAATAGTGTTTTCTTCAAATACTGTACATCTCTATTAAGGACTCGTGTACCTAAGAATCAGTCATTTTTCACACCCATACAGTGTCTCTTAACTTACAAAACACCACAACTGCAACTAACACTCACAACTTGACATACACAACATTAATATAAAATTTGTTACTGTAAAGGATCCAACAGATAATGGTGTGTTGTAAGCTTAGAGCACTAATACTAATGGCATTTTAAAATCAGTTTTATAAGGTCTGTACATATCAAGTACATTCAGTGATTTCTTTCCTCAATCACTGTGTTCTCTCTCCCAGTTTTCAGTTTGATTGTTTTTTCTTACTCTTCTTGCCAATGACCAAAGGATTTTAATGGGGGTTTAGAGGCCAAATGCGTCAGGATTTGACTGTACGATGCAGGATGTGAGAAGATCAAGGATAAATTATCAGTCAAGAGTATACAGTAGTAGGACAGAAGAATAGGATAAATAAATGTACAGTACTGTGGATCCAGACAGACCCGAGCATCTGTCCCAACCCAATTAGTTGAGAAAAGAATATGATTGATAGAGACAGACAGAAAGAAGCAAAAATTCCCTTATAAAATAAAAATCAACCAATAAAACAAAAGCATACTTGTACAGTATACTGTACTGTTAAGATACAGTCAGTACAGTACTGGACTTGAACGGAGATGTTGAAGTTGTGTTCCACTTTACAGTACAGTGAGACCTCCATATAACGGACTTCTCTCTCCATATAATTCATTATATGGAGGTTACACATTTAAATGACCCTCAATATAACAGACTTTCATCTCAACATAGTTCATTAGATGGAGGTTTCACGTCTAACGGACCCTCGATATAATGGATTTTCCTCTCCACATAGTCCGTTAAATAGAGGCTTCACTCTACGTAGTTAAATGAAGCAAAACCTCCCAAATTTCAACTCGTTTTCTAAACTAAATATTGCGGATATAACTCTCACTCCCTCATATCTAGATCCTTAACCTGTAGCCTAACCGTATGCAGATTAACTTGTAAAAAGCGTAATGTAAATCATAAATTGACAGCAATTCATCGTCATAAATGAACCAAGCTCAGGTAATATAATACTGACCGGAGGGCTGAGCGACGTGAAATTTTACATGATGAAGAGTCAAAACTGAAAATGATACTGAAATTTTGGTAAGGGTACTCATCTTCACTTCAGGATAGGCCAGACCTGAAAGCCACTACAGAAAGCTTCAAATTCTGTTCCCTAGTAAAAGTTAGAGCAAATTTTGATGAAGATTTTGTCTCGTTACCAATAATAAGACTCCATTATTTCTCAAACAAGTGAGGGAGTTGGAGGCTCTGCTTAAGCTTTCAGACAGGACCTACTGTAAATCCAGAAAAAGAGTAACCTTAAGTATGTGTGTGTGTGTGTGTGTGTGTGTGTGTGTGTGTGAGACGACCAACTGTGTGGAGGGTGATTTTCAACTAGGGAGTTTTAAGCCCTTTTCCTGTCACTTCTTACACTTAACTTGTTCCATCTCCCTTCCCCTCCTTTCTTTTGATGTGTCCCTATCCCCTGGTTTGTCCCCCACAAAAGAGATAGATAAATGGACAGACAGATAGACAGAGTTTAATTACAAGATATGGGTAGAACGTTAAGTATTTATAGAAGGTTCAGAATTTCAAACACAAAAAAGTACCCAGTGAGTCACCAACCCTCTGAGGAAACAAGTAGAAAAAAGGGGATAAAAAGATAAGCATAGTAACACAGAGAGGAAGGTTAGGTGTGTTGGGAGAGCTTGAGTCTTTGTGATGCATGGTAGTTAGTCATTATTATTGTGTGCGTGAATTACTGGGAGTGAAAGCTCAGGCCAAACAACTACTTCAGAGAGATATTAATGTAATGGTGCCTTATGGTGTGTAGTGATGAGACCAAAGAGGAGGAAAATATGGTTGACAGGAAGTGAGAGTTAAGAAGGTTGGGACCTGCCGAGAGAATGAATAGAGAGAAATGTTGTGAGTGTGAACTGTAGGAATGGAATCAGAGATAGAATTGTGTGAGACCAAGATGGGGATGAATGGTGGGGACAACATGGCCAGGGAGGGAAATTACTGTCAACATCTTTCAATATTATTTCAAGTTTGACAAACAATATGTGAGATCACAATAAGCCAGCCAGCTGTCAGCAACGTTGTTTTAATTATTCTAAACAAGGATAAAACGTAAAAACCAAAGCATTAATGAGTCCCTATTCGCCTACATTTAGGTTATTTTAAACAGCAGTTGCTGCACCTCAAGTCACTGGCCATTTGTTTAAAATCATGAGAAAGTAAATCAAATGCAATTTCTCCTAGAGATATGTAAGTGGTTCAGCAGTGTTCAACTACCTAGAATTTTTATAAAACTCCTAACCTAACCTAACCTATACAGTACATCAATTTAAATTCCTATACTGTACACTAATATATGCCATCACTTAACAGTCTTCCTAACAAACAACCCAAAAGAATGTTTAGCCTGGTTAAAAATTACTAACTTTAACATCTACATCCACTTCCTTAATTATGACACACACAGCTACTACTACTACAGAATCCCTAATACGACATCTTATCTATTCTTATAGATTATACTGTATGGGCTGCTCTAGTCTATTACTTGCCATTTCTCTTTCAATAATTTTTTCCCCTTCCTTTAATGTCTATAATTCCTGAATTTTTTTTTTTTTGCCAATTTTCCACTGTTCATCATCAAGCATTCCTCTTCTCATTACTTAACCTCTTTATTTTCCTACATCCTCTTATGTACACCTGAAGCTTCACCACCTCTTTCTGTCACAGTCAAACTCATGAGTAATTAATAGTCTTTAAACTTTACCATTTCTGCAAAACCAAATACATATAACCTCTATTAAGAATCATGTAAGTCAAAATATATATCTAATGAGGTTCATGAGACAAATGAATTTATGTCTGACATTTTAAATATGTACTGCAAGACAGAATACTGTATGTCAGCCATGGTAAATTATAAAAAAATAAATAAATAAATAAAATGACACACACAAAGGCTTGGGCAAAAAATTTCCAAAATTATCTAAAATTTGCAATTCAACAAAAGCCACTGTTTATTTACATCCTAAATATGCAGATCTGTTTTGAGACCTTGAGTGAGTTGTAATATTTACATCTCCATCAATCACCTCTCACTCCACAACACCGTTTATTAACCACGTGATCGGTGTTTAAGTCAGCTGTGTCTAGTTTCTTCTTTGTTGTACATTAAGTGTTTAGACTACGGTGCCGAGTCATATTCACTCTCCTTTATTGAATTTTAATACAGTGCATCCTTATTGTACTATAGCCAGTACAGTATTTCTATAAACCGTGAGGGCATCTCCAGCCAACACCATTACCAGAGCACATCGTACCATAAGCTATGCTCATGGCCGATACCAACTTCCAACGGCACAATGTAGCAGCAGTACCATAATATTGTTAGCCAACTAAAACACTGTACTCTACTAACACAACCACAACTGTAGTACTGTATTTACACGAAAAACACGACAATAATTCACTGGCTAATTAGCATGTTGATGAAAGATTAGTGATGCACGTGCAACACAATCTATTTAATTAGGTGGTCCTTTTATTGTAATGGGCTAAATACTGTACAGGAATTCTGACAGGGCCTGAAAAAAATTTTGCTGCCTGGCATCCATTTTTTTAATGGTTTGAATGCACAGTGGGAAAAAATGCAAAAATCATGCCAAAAGCCTCTTTTTACAATCTTCCTTTTTCCCACTCCTCTCTCCTCCTCCTCTTTCTTCTTTCTTCCTCCTCCTTCTTCTCATCAATATTTGGTTACTTTCCTCATGGTCAACATACCAGAATACTGTACAGTATACTGGTACTGGATATTTTCAGGCCCTGTTATATGACCCTTCAAGTTTGTCAAAGATCTTTACATCACCTCAAAATAAGTTTTATTAAAACTTTCGCCACATGATGAACATACGCTATAGAGGTGTCAAGACTTACTACACGTTACTTGGGCTGTCAGTCATCCTGGATGCTCAACATGTTGGTTAAATTATCCACAAAAGAGAATCAATGCAGTAAACTGTAATGTGGTTCATGTATTATTAAAACACTCCAAGCTGCTGATTATTAAGCCATGCCATCATGCAAATATTTACCTGGTATACAAGTCAGTATACGTTTGCCAAACTTACTTACCAGTTTCTCGTCCCCATTTTTTGCAGACTGTAAGAATATAAAGCACAGCATGGCTTGATAAGTTGGATAGAACAGATGAATTCAACAAGGAAAAGCTTAATAGCTATTGCAAAATGTATATAATAAAACACTTAAAAGTATACTGTATTCATATCTACATTTAAAGTTCATTCTGGATTCTCAACGCAAAGATCCATATTGCACTGAAAAGGGACAGTAAAGGAATAAAAAAACATGCACATGACTATTGACAATAATTGCAGCAAACAATAGACAAATATCTTGACATTGTGTGAACAAATCAATAGAGTAATAATAATAATTGGTCCCTCACAGTCCGGGATCAGTGCAACATGAACAATCACTACGACTATTTCTAGTATAACCACTATATGAACCTATGTTAGTGTAACAAGAAGGCTTATCATCACTCTCCCAGATGGTAAATACACCTTCATGAACTCCAACATACAGCTCACAGTCTGTGGTCACACCGGTAAAGCTGTAGGTTGTGTGGGTGTGGGCTGAACCTGAGACATACAAGTCAACCTTGAGCCCTCAACCTCCTTCAGTTGGACGTGCTTTACTTGTGACTGGTTGTTGAGCAGCTACCAGCAGCCATAGCCAAGCAGCTGCCAGGGGCACCGAGACACTGACTCCTCCTCTGTCGCGTAGCTTCGCCACTGTGTGTTTGCCACAAAGTAGTGAAGATCCAAAACAGAGAATAGCTGTGACTCATTAAGTCATGACTATTACCTTTTTGATTTACAAACTGCTCTCAGTGGTGAAATACCAAACAAATCGGCACATCACCACTGAACTGCAGGTCAAGAAAACAGTGGCTAGAGAATGGAGACTATAGGGATACAGTTGCCCCATGATGGTGGCTGCTGGTCCCGGCCTTCGTGGCCTCTACTCTGTAGCTCACAACTACACCCTCACCGCTTCTCCACCACACACATCACACAGAAGTCCCAAGTCCTCACTTACATTCCTTCCAACATCTGATCCTTGCTACATGTCCTTTCACATACTATTTGTTTTTTATTATTGTATCTCTGTTGTGTAGAGACATCAGGTAACAGGGAGTAGTTGTGAACAACAAAGGAGAAGCCGAGGTAACCTTAAACTCCTCACAAACTTACCCTCAGTTTGGGGTTCTTAAGTCTTTGGAAATAGCGCTCCAACTGAAACAAGGAAAAAGAATGGAGACCAATCATTATATACCAATTCATAATATTAAAATAAAAAAATTTAATTTTGAATTTTGAGAGGGCTGAAAGCAGAGTGGCTTCCAGGTTTTGGCATCAGGCAGAGGGACTGGATCATCTGGTACCCAAAAACACAATTTGCCCATGACTGGCTAAATCTTTTACTGAACTCAAACTTAATACTGTACAGTAGAGGTTATGTTAATAATTAAAATAAAAAACTCTTTAAATCTGTGGTAAAAAGATATGATTTCTTAACATTAACTTTTCTCTCCACGGGAGGAGTAATTGACCTGTTCACTACAGCTGCACCCAATTCTGGCATCCCTATCTCTCTCTCTCTCTCTCATTACAATTATAAGTTCATTATATATTCTTGTAAGGTGAGTCATGCAGTCACATCAGTAAATTAGCTCACTATTTTTTCTCCTCCATACACAATTTTTTTTTTTCAGCTGCAATTTTTTCACCTGGGAAAAAAAAATACTGTACCAGTACAACTGTATTTGTATATTAAAAAACTGAAAAGAAAAAATGGAACTTAATTTGCCAATGTGGTTACAAAAACTAACATGTCAAGAAGCAACCAATTAACTTCACCATACAGAACAGTAACAAAAGAAAGGATGCCACAAGTGGGCACAACTACATCAACTGGTCACTACTGTACAGTACACCCCAGAATTAACCAAACACCAGATATGTACAGAAATACAAGTACTGTGTATAAATCAAGAGAGGATATGAGGTAAGATCCGAGCCACCTCACCTGTGTCAACCAAAACATGAAGAGTAAACAAAGCTTCCCCCAGAGCGGCCCAAACTGTCTCTCACATTCGTTCTTGCACACAGGTGTTTGAGAAATGCTCCGAGGCTAAAAATTTAAATCCCTTTTTTTTTTAATTTTGCAGAGACTGGTGAGAAATTATTGAACTATTCCAAGAAATCCATGACAAGTTAATATTATATATGCCCAGTTAACTATAAAAAAATTTAAATATGACTACAATTTCTTCTAAATATATTATAACTATGATATTACCAAGAGCAACAATGAAAACAAAAACAAAATATTAATCAAGTTGTATATGATCTCTCAAGTTCCAAATTTGATCCCCAAAGTTAATTATAAATTACTGTACTGTATACTGAATTCAATTACTACGTTATGGGGTCACGTCACAGTTTCATATCTGGTGCAATGCTGTACTATATATCTTGAGCCTGTGTGTGTGTGTATACAGCAAAAATCAACAGTGTGGCTATTGAAAAAAAAAAATCCCTGCCGTTTTGTAAGCAGTAAATCCTCATGGCGACCCCCTAAGCAACGCACAGTACATGAAGCCACCAGCGCGGGTAAGATATCTCAGGACAATACCTCACCAACTCTGATGAACTTGTGTAGCTACACTCTTTAGTTGTCACATTAAAGTTCTACCATTTTACATGACACCAGAGATTTTTTTGTTGTTTTTACCTCATATATGCAGTACATCTGTATTAATTTCTCCTCCATGCATGCACACACACACACAACATTGCACCAAATAAGAACCCATGACAAGATTCCATAACACAAAAGAACATCATTTCTTTTCCTTTTAATGTGATTATAAACTTTATTACAATAATTTACAGGATAAATATAGGAATCTGATATCTTCTGAACAACCTTAAACCTAATAAGTATTGAGATGGGTTATGAGTCACCTCGGAACATTGAGTGTACGAGGAAGAGCAATTGTTAAATTGTCTGGGGTGGGTAAGGAAGGGCAGGAGGTTCATAATGGTGACATTGTGAAGGTCTAGGAGAGGATAATACTTTGCTTAAGGCTAAAAAACAAAAACAGTAGTACAGTAGGTTCTTGTCTGTATCAGTAAACTGTTATAGTCACTGGTAAAATTTTAATACAGTACTATGCAACACTTTGAGCGGAGAGAGTGAACGTCACAAAGAAAATTCCAGCGATTATTTAATTAATAGATATTAAATGATTTGCCGACCATAAAATTGCTGTATTGACATGTAAGATAAATGAAAGTTATGGAAGAGCGAAGGAATGATGAGAGGTGATGGACTTGAAGCACGAGTCATTAGTACATTATGGTGAGCTACAACATGATCTGGTGCAGAGACTAAGTAAGTACATTACAGTGTGTGCTGGTACTGGCATGGAATGCAAGTGATAAATTGGTACTAATAATAAATAAATCAGTACAATACTATAAGGAAAGACACTGAGGTAGCAGGTCATTTATAACAAGACAGCAACCAAACTATGCAGGAAGTAACCCTATTTAAGCTCCAACACAAACACACTAAACAGAAGTAATAAATGATAAAAGAAAGAATAAAGCCTCAACCAGTGGCTAAGGATTCCCTACTTCATCCCCCATATTTGCAAAAATGGAATGCAAGGAACATGAAACTTCAACTGATGACGAACACTGTTACTACAGGTAACTTCAACTGATGACGAACACTGTTACTACAGGTAACTTCAACTGATGACGAACACTGTTACTACAGGTAACTTCAACTGATGACGAACACTGTTACTACAGGTAACTTCAACTGATGACGAACACTGTTACTACAGGTAACTTCAACTGATGACGAACACTGTTACTACAGGTAACTTCAACTGATGACGAACACTGTTACTACAGGTAACTTCAACTGATGACGAACTCCATTCAAGGGTTAATACCATAATCATATAACAGATCAAAATTATGGTACTGTATCTCTGAAATATACCATACTGTACCACAAAACTAAAATGTATACTGCACTGTGTTGTAACTTCACTGATGTGACATTTAGCCAGAGAAGACAAGAAGACCGACCAAATAACCAGAACCTTTAACCACTAGACCTAAAATAGTGGCTTGAGGATATTAGTACGTAGTGAATCAGGCGGTCCATATATCTCTAGATTTCCGCCACTCTCATAATAGTGAGAAAGAGCCGGTTAGAGCAAAGAACAAAACAAAGGAGCAACAACTTTCGTGTTCTCCATGTTGGAAGTTACCAACAAATTGCTACAAAAGTTAAAACTTCGTCGATATCAAATAATTTGGGTCTTTTACAACACTAACAAATGTGAGTGAAATCAGAGAGCCATAATCTGTCTTTCTGGGATCAAGCAAAATGTAAACTGTCTTTCTGGGATTAAGCCAAATGTAAAGCAATTTGTAAAATAACCCACAGAACAAAGTCTGGTGTAAAAAAATACAGTTGGTGTAGTCAAAGTCATGAGGTCAGGTCAAAGGCACAGTACCAAGCCGTCGGTAACCTTCCCGAGTCAAAACAGTCTCCACCCCCTCTCCCACACCTAATATTATATCACAAGAACCAATGCTCCCCTTTCTCACTTCCCCAATTTATTCATCCCATTTTCCTCCTTCCATTTCTTGCCAACTCCCCATCCCTTCTCACCTCAAGTTGTCTGTCCATAGGGCAGCCATGAACAGATGAGCATCAAAATATACTAACACTTTTTAAGACACAAAAGTTTACCACTTCTAAATGTATGGTATAGCTCCCATCTTCTGGCACATTTCTGCTTTACACTTCTGAATCACTACTCTTTACCTTTGAGCCTCACCTACAGTACAGTAAGAAGATGCACTGCCTTACTCTCATGAGGAAAGTAAACAAATAATGTAATGTAGACAAAGCTATGAGCTCAGTCAAGTCTTAACAAGTGTATATGATGCTCATGCTTACAAGGTTTTAAATCTCTTTAAGCATCTGATGGTTCTATTGGCTATCCTTAGTCAAACTGCCCCACTGTTTTCTGCACTGTCTATATATAGAAATTGCTTACCAGCACAGTCTAAATACACTGTATACCTGTGGTCTCTAAACCTGAATTATCTGAATATCCTGTACAGTACATGCTGGACCAATTATAAATTTGTTTGGCAACTTTAATTAATATATACTGTATTATTATTACTATTACCTTTCCACCCAGCAACAAGAAGCACACTATGTCACCTGGCCAATATTAGATGAGGTAATAATAAAGAAAATAAACTAACAAAACAAAAAATATCTGTGCAAGTTCACCTCAAATTGTATGTACAAAAAATTATTCATAGTGGAGGGGAAAGAATCACTTTGTATATAATGTTGCAAGGGCCATGCAAGTTCAAGATGTGTCCATGTATGTATGTATGTATATGTATGTATATATGTATATACTGTATATGTGTACTATGTATGTACTGTATGCATATATGTGTGTTTATAACTTAGCCATTTCCTGTCACTATGTTTACTTATCACGACCCCCCCAATATCCTGTCCTCTGCTCCTCTCACCAGAATGAGAATTAAGTTAAGCTATTAGATACTGTACATGGATGGATGCTTCTCTTTCCTCACACTTACACATACTCTAAATACACTTTGTAAGGAAGTCTTAAATATTGGTTTGTAGTCACAATGGATATCATAACCACTTGGTGGCCCTTTTGGGAACTTTATATATTTATACATTAATTTAAATACTTTTTTTAATACTGGTGGTTTGTTATAGAAAATTGTCTTAGCTAATTTCAGCTTGAATTAACAACCGAATATCCACGACTTGCCTAAAATTTCTTACAAAATCGCAGTAGATCCTGTAGAGTACCATCTACATTGAGCAACAACTCAACTTCAAGTTATTTTGGTCAAGGCTTACAGTGGCTGAGTCGATACAGCACTCTCCTTCTATCCTTAGTGTTGTTGGTTCAATCTTATGTCACCCCTAGTTTACCCAGCTGTGAATAGATACCCCCCCCACACACACACACACACACACACGTAACGCAACACCAAGTTTTCTGCGGAGACTGGACCCAAACATACAGTCACTACCCATATGCAAGACTAGCATCTGCAAAGTGTGGGATTTACGGTAGGTATCTGGCATGAAGAAGCAATTTTTACAAAGGTGTATAGTATATATTGTAATACAGGGT